TTGGGATCAACCTCTATGCCCTTATCATGAATTATGAAGCCTAAGAACTTTCCAGCCGATACTCCAAAAGCACATTTGAATGGGTTCATCTTTAATCCATAGCGGCATATCCTCTCAAAAGCAAGATGCAAATCGGCCAAATAAGATTCATGGTCAGCCAATTTAATCACAATATCATTAATGTAAACTTCTATAATCACCCCAATTAGATCATGAAAAATCAAATTCATAGCTCTTGGATAAGTAGCACCTGCATTCTTCAGCCCAAATGTCATCACAACCCACTCAAAGAGACCAACAAACCCTGGACATATGAAGGCCGTCTTAGACATATCTTCTTCGGCCATGAAAATTTGATTATAACCGGCATTACCATCAAGAAAGCTAATAACCCGGTGTCCTGAAGCATCATTGATAAACATATCGGCTATAGGCATAGGATATTCATCTTTCGGAGTAGTTCTATTCAGATCTCTAAAATCAATACAGACTCTGATCTTTCCAGAATCCTTCTTCTCAGCAGGCACAATATTAGAGACCCACTCCGCATACCTGCATGGCTAAATAAACCCCACTTGCAACAGCCAATTAATCTCCTCTTTAATTCTAACATAAATTGTAGAATTAAATCGATGGAGGTTTTGCATGAAAGGCCTAAATCATTTCTTAATGGGGAGCCGATGCTCAACAAGCTCTCGGCTCAATACAGGCATCTCTGTATAATTCCATGCAAAACAATCAACATATTCCTTGAGAAGCACAATTAACTCTTCTTTGTAATTGGCTTCCAAGTTTTGATTAATAAACGTCGGCCGGGGCACAGAGCCATCCCCAATATCAACTTGATCCAAAGGGTCGGTCGACGTAAAACCTTGGCCCAACTTATCGAGCTCATCAAAATCATCAATAGCCTCACAGGCATCGGTCTTATTAGCTCGATACTGTTCAACAAGATGTTTCAACCATTCAACGTTGGCATCCATTATAATAATGATTACATGATGATATTGAGCTGATTATCAATCGGCTTTAAAGATACAGGAACAAAACCTTGCCTGGTAACACTAATAAACTCAAAACTAGAAAGGCCTCTACTAGCCAAGCAAGCAATAGCATCATGCCCCCCGAGCGTAGGAGCATCGGCTGCAGCAACATAAGCCGATGAATCTGAATGCACAACCTCAACAGTATCTCCCACCCATTGGATGAGAAATTGGTGCAAGCTAGATAGCACATAGCGATTGGTATCAATCCAATCACGCCCAAGTATCAAATTATAGCTACCTTGCACGACGGCGACGAAAAACGCCTTAGCCAGAGTCTTACTTCCAATGGTGAGCTCCATGTTAGCAACTCCCCTGGCCAGGATGGGAGCACCTCCTCCAACACCGCTGATCGTCATATTGGTCTTGATCAGCTCCTCATCAATGCCATCGAGCTTCTTGTAAAGCGGATATGGCATCAAGTTTACTATCGCCCCACTGTCCACCAACATGCTATGGACCGGGGTGCCATTGATATGGCCCTTCACATGTAGTTGCTTAAGATGGTTAACAGAGTCATCTGGTTTCTAAAATGCTGCGCTCTCCATTGCGAAGTTAAACTCCACCATCGTGGAGTCATCTGCCGTGATGTAGTAATTGACAGACAAAACAACCACATTGACCTTAGCTCTCTTCGGGGTAGCCTCATAGTCAACCATCTCCTCATCGGGAACCTCAAGAACCTCGATGCCAACCAGGGCAGCAACAGTAGTAGCAAAATCATCAGAGGACACCTCGGAGGTACCTAGGATAGCAGGAGTCGGCTCAGCCGACTCAGAAGTTGGTTTAGCCAACTCTAGAGCTTCCAGAGCAGCAGGTGCAAGCGAAGTCGGCTTAGCCGACTGGTTCAGCACAAGAGTCGGCTTAGCCGACCGGCGATAAGTAAACCGTGGTGTTTTGACCTTTTAGAGGGATTTGAACATGTACGGGGTTGAAGATTTCACTCTCCATCTTGGCAAGCTTCTCCCTCTTCTGTTGCATATGTTGGGCACGCTGCAACTTGCGCCGTTGAGTCTTATTCAACCCATGAGGACACCATATGGGTTGTCGATACTTGGAATCTTCTCTGGCGTGCTTCTTTTCTTAAATTCCAGCAACATCTTTAGGAGCTTCATCTTGCTTAGATGCTGAAATTTCTTCAATTACAATCGGCCCATAATGATTAGTGATAGGAGCTTCTATGGAGCCGATTGTGACAACAGATTGAAGCCTAGCTCTTGGTGGGGGAAGGATAGGAACTTCAACCTTCTTAAGCACATAAACTTGCTGCATTGGTGCTTTTCCTGATTCTTGTGGAGTCAAAGTCTTGGAAGTAACCACACGGTCTTGGCTTGCATCGTCGGAGCTCGATTGACCACTGTTCAATCAGCTAAACACGGAGGTCCTTGGGACTTGACCAGCAGGCTCTCCCTACCTTTGTTGACTATGCATAGGCGCCGCTGGTACATGAGGAGCAACTCTCTGAGGAGCAACACGGAGGTGGAATCGGAGGACCCAACGAGATACATGAGGAGCAACTCTCTGAGGTGGAGCTGCTGGTTGCACCACCGCCAATTGTTTGGTCTTGTCATCTTCTCACTTAGGCGGAGTAGACTCTCTTTTTTAACGGTCAATTCTAGTAATCGGCCTTTTGTTGCTTGTACTTGATCATGAGCCTATCAAAAGTGCATTGCTTCTTCACGAGCTTTCCCGGGTTCTTCTTCTCATTAGTCTTCCAGGTGCCAATCTCCGGCTTCTGTGGAACAAACGTGCGCAAAACACGAACACCAGAGGAACTCGGGCTACTGGAACTAGGGGAGTCGGCTAAGCCGACTGGGGTAGTTGGCTTAGTTGACTTGGCTATGCCAGGAGAGGAGTTGGCTAAGCCGACCCCTTGGGTCGGCTGAGCCGACTAGCTCTGCTATGCGGTGGAGTCGGCTTCGCCGACTGGTGGAGTCAGCCTAGCCGGCCTCTACTGTGCAACCGTTGTTTCGTACCACCACTGCCTTCTCAAGTATTGCGTTGATCCAGTGATGATCTTCAACTTGTTCTTGCCTTCATCATCCTTCTCAAGCACCACCTTGCGCCCCGAATTCTTTTGAACATTTGGTGCTACAGGTGGTTCGCCGATAATCACATTCTTGCCTTGAGTTGTATCGGCTTGCTTTGGACGAATCAAAACAGCGGGCGCCCCTGCTTCAACCATATGCATGGGAAAAGGGGTCTTATCAACTTGCATCTCAGTAAGACTCAATCGTCCCTCATTAAGGGCCGATTGGACCTGCCGACGGAAAACATTGCAATCATTAGTGACATGAGAAAAAGAGTTATGATATTTATAATAAGCCCTTCTGTTTAACTCATCAGCTGAAGGCAATGTATAATTGATTCTAATATTACCAAATTTCAACAATTCATCAAAAGTTTGGTCGCATTTAGAGAAATCAAAAGTAAATTTCATTTCCTCATTTTGATTCTTATGAATCGGCTTGAGAGAAGGACAAGTAACCAATTTATTCTCTGCTGGCCATTTAATTTCAGCAGCTAAAAAATCTTTATTATCATCATCAGAATGATCGGAACAATCACCAACAAAATGCATATTCTGACGATGAGAAGTATAAGCATCACGAGACTCTTTAAGGCGCGATTCAATTGAAATGGCTTTTTGCATAAGTGGATTGACATTATGAAACTCATAATGCTCAAGCTTTTCTCTAATGCTAGAGCATAAACCAACAAAGCATAAATCAGTTAAATCTCTTTCAGAAATATTTAAATGAAAACATCGGTTCTTAATCTCTCTAAATCGTTTGAAAAATCATGGACGGACTCATGACACCCCTGACGAACCGATGCAAGGTGAGACAATATAGTTTCATGAGCACCGCTATAAAAGTGATTATGAAATTTCTCTTCTAATTCAGCCCATGAACTAATAGAACAAGATGGTAATAAAGTAAATCATGCAAAAGTTGTGCTTGTAAGAGATAAAGGAAAATTTATAGGGACGGCTGATAACACCAGCCGCCCTATAAATCGATTTGTAGGGGCGGTCTGGGAACCGCCTCTACAAATACATGATTTGTAGATGTGCTTGGGTAGGGGCGGCTGGGCAAACCGCCCCTACAAAACCTCTAGGGCCGCCCCTACAAATACTATATGACGTAGTGATAGGGGGGCTCGAGCTCCCTCCCCTCCCCCCAACCATTTTTTTCTGGCACATGGAAGGGAAGTTAGAATGGCTGCCGGTCTGGCTGGATGTTGAAGAAGGAAGAAGTCACGACATGGATAGCGAGAGAATGAGTATTGGGCTAGCAGGGAAAGGGCAAATGGCTATTGGGCTTTAGTTCAGAATATATGTGACAACTAGAAATTGGACTCCACCCAACATAGGTCCAACAACCTCGGACTCCTTTTCCTCACGATTTCCCATGACGCATAGTAGACCTGTTTACAAACAGAGTGCTAGGAACATCCTGCTCAAAATATCGTATTTTGATGATAGTACAACATAAACTTAAACTTAAATTATCTCAGTATTATCTTTTTTTCTCGTTGCAACACATAGGCATAATCCTATAATACAGTAAAATAGAAATGGGGGAATTATGTACCCAGATCTCGATATTAGCTTTCAGATTGTGGGCATTCCATGCACGCCAGACGGTGGGAATTCAAGAGTTCTACTACCTTGCTCATGATCGGTCTTATTATTTATTTATTTATTTATTTATTTTATGAAACACGATACAAACTGTGACACCCCACATAGAAGTATAAATATAAAACATACATGTATGCACACTTCACTTAAACCTGGGTGAGTAGATTCACAACAAACCTAATCAACTGGTGGGCTAAGCTTAGTTTGCGTCTTATTCAACTCCGGTAGCATGTACACAATATATATCCATCTGGACATGCATGTACGTAGTACGTATGTATGCGTACAATCGATTGGAACTAGCTAGCTAGCTAGTAGGGTTTCTCCCCGGCGTAGTTGCCCGGCGGGTTGTAGTTGCAAGTGATGAAGACGCCACCGCCGTTGTTGCAGACGACGCGGGCGCAGCCGATGGCGGTGGACTTGCGCCACACAACCTGCGTGTAGTGGCCGCACACCTTCCCCTTCGCGCAGCTGTTGCTGTTGTAGTCGTAGTCCGGCTTCTCCCCCACCCACCAGCCGATGGCGTCCGACGCGGTCCAGTCTTTGCCGGAGCTGCCCCAGAAGATGTTTTCACCGTAGCCGTTGGGCCCGCCGCCAGAGTGCACGAGCCTGCAGTCGCCCTGGCGCTGCACCGCGTAGCTCCGCGCGAAGGCGGCCACGTTCTCGTCCCACGACACCGGGCCGACGCCCACGGCCGCGCGCGCCGCGTTGTGCGGTTTCACGAAGTCCTGCGGCGAGTTCTGGGCCGCACACGGCGTCACGGCGAGCGTGGCCGCCACCACGGCCAACGCCAGAGCTACACACATAGACGAGTACTCCATTGCTAGACGACTGGACAAAAATGAAGTTTTTGTGTGAGATGGTCAGATGGATGCATGAGTTGTGGCGAGTGACCAGGTATTTTTATAGTGGTAATAGGATGGAGAGTTGGAGACCATTGGCGACTTGTCAAAGATACCTACTATTCTCACTCTGTCCTGTCGTATATGAATTATGAAAAACCGTGGGTTCGGACCCTATAGATCGCGCGACTTGTGACATATGATGTCGCGTACGTGTGGCTGCCTCGTGGGGGAACTCCCCATATTAAAAAAAATGCTATTTTTGGTCTGATCGGTGATTTATAGAAAACAAGTATAATCGTATCTAGAAATAGAAGTTGTAAAGGTGGCTCGTAACAACAACCATTTCTGAAAAACGATTTATAAAGACTGTTGTTGTTGTCCGACATTTCTACAAATTCTATTTCTAGAGGCGGCTAGCTCTATATATACAGCATCTATAGTCGTCTCTAAAAAGCTTGGACGATGTAGTTGGTACTTCCTTTGATCCAGTGTGTATATATATAGGAGGTCCATATAGTTATTCCACTTCGATTATATCAAGAAAAGGTATTGTACGTATTAAATAGAAGAGTATATATATTAATATAAAATTGTATTATATGAAATAAAAGAGCTATATATTATATATTATGATAATATTTTTCATAATGATGAACCTAATAGTGGGAATCTTATGTTTGCGCAATAGATTTTTTTTTCAAATTCCTAGTCTATCAAAATTGACTTAGGACAAATCTAAATAGATATATATTTGTGATCAAAGTAAGTAGCAAACCAGGGAACCAAATTGTAAGCTGCTAAATAAAAGTTGTTGTCAGTTTGGTCAAAATTCCACAAGGGCAAGAATTCCAAGGACACGATCGCCGACGTACGGGAGCTACCACCCATGTGTCCTAGTAAAAAATTATTTGGCAGCATGGAGGCCGCTACAACAAAATCATGTGATGTTGGCTTCTATAGAAGCTCATGTATGAAACCAATATATATAATAACCAAGTAAATAACAGAAGAAATCTGTTTATTTTTCAAAAATCATATCATTCATGCATAGCCGTATCGAGCAAAAACCCATAGTCAAATCTTAAACATATTTGTTACACACTTGCTCTATACGGTTTGCTTACATACTGTTAGTATATTTTCTTATAAACATGAACAAGGTAATAAAAGTTTGACTCAGTAGACTGAAACAACCTATATATATTTTAAAAGGAAGGGTAAAACACTCATATAGCACTCATGAGCTTATCTTATCTTTTTACATTTTACTTTTTTGAGCAACTTTTATATTTTCGGCGTGGCTAGCGCCCTGACATATGGATGTTAGCCCCCATTCGGGCGCCCACGCCTACCCGCCTAACCCACATGCTAATAAAGCCTGCCCCACATGTAAAACTGTAGCACTGCTGTCCCGCATGCACCTGCAGGTCCCCCGCATCAGCATGCACCTGTTGTGCCTGCACGCCCGGGCCAAGCATGCTAGTGCACGTAGAGCTGCGCGCCCGTGCCTGCTGATGTGCATGCAGGTGAGGACCACCCACGCCTGCTTCGCTTACCGCGCATGTGGGGACCGCTGCGCCCGGGAGGACCGCCTCCGCATGTGCCCGCTTCCTGTGCCTGTTAATATTGCAACATGAAGCACTTCTGCAACATGCATCTGGAACAGGTGAAACATTTGCAACATATGCTTACAACATATATTTATAGCAACTGCAACATATGCAACATCCAAATAAAAGACTTGCAACATACATTTGAAACAAATAAAACATTTTAAATAGACGCTTGCAACATATGTGTATGCCATTGAAACATATGCAACATCTATATCAAAACGCTTGCAACATATGTCTGAAAACAGATGAAACAGTTTGAACAACGCTTGCAATGCCTCTGAAACACTTTCAACATATGCAACATGTGCAACATCCCCCGATCTACTTTTGCAACATCCATATGAAACTATTGCAACATGTCTCTGAAACATCTGAAACAATTGAAACGTACGTTTGCAACATAGGGGGAGAGAGCCTTGGGCCGGTCGATTTCGGGCGAATGGGTTGGAGCGGGCGCACAAGCACCAGCACCAGCGATGCGTGTGAGCACCACCACCACTAGCGCTTGGCACCAGGGCTTGGCTCAAGGTGACAATGGGGGATGGGGCGGGGCGCCCATGCCTGCCGGGTTGGGGGGAGCTCGGTCTCTAGGGTGGAGAGGGCGCTGCACTGGGGTAGGGCAGAGCCACCGACCCCCTTGCAACACCGCCGCGCCACATCTTGGTGGGGCAGGACGCCGAGGTGGGGAGGAGAATGCCGCTAGGGTGGGGGAAGGAGCTGCCAGGGTGGGCGAGGAGGACATCGGAGAGGGCCACTAGATCCACGGGCGTTGAGCGCTCCCGCTGGGTGACGATGCCGGGGTGGGGGTGGGGCGCCGCCTGAGTGGGGGTGGAGGATGCCGAGGTTGTGGGAGCTTGCACACCGGGGTGGGTGAGGGCATCACCGCCGGCTTGGGAGGCAGCCATGGCCACGCGTCGGAGTGGGGCAAGGCGCGAGCGCGGAATGGATAAGAATGGGGAGGAGGAAGCGAGGGCAAGCGACGCGTGTGGGAGTGAGCGGTGGGAGGCGTCCATCCGAATAGGGATTTGTGTTTTTGTTTGAGGCCCGCTCCTAGAGAACCTCGTCCGGACGCAGAGTCAGAAATGGGCGTCTTGATAGGAGCATTATCGTTCTTCAAGACCTTGTAACTGTTAGGCCTGCTCTCTTTGCTGAGGTAGCATTTGGTTGGGAGGTGAGGTGGAGTGGGACGGTCCTATCTCTATTTTGTGGGACGAGACGACTCTATTTTCTATTTGTTTGAGAAAGGATGGAATCAACCCATTTTCTATTTGGTCAAGAGTCATGAAAAGTGGGATCAGCTACTGACATATGGGGCCCATTTGTTAGTTTTTTTCTTTTTTCTTCCTCCTTCCTTATCTCTTTCCCCAACTGCGACGCAAAGGCCCTGTGAACGCACCTCCCATTCGCAGCGCGCCCCGGTGACTCCTCTACCGCACGCCACCGCGTACCTCCTCCACCGGCAAGATTGGCCCCGTGCCTCCTCCTCTGCGCGCCCCTAGAACTCTCGTGATGGCAGCCCCTAGAAGGTCGCGCGACGGCGGCCCCTAGAACTTATGCATGCAAAGAAAGAGTGACAAAATCCTATGAAAGCATGATTGAATGAATCGTGCACCAATGGGAAATCAAGGACAGAAGGCGTGTGCTCGAGGAATTGATAATGATGTAATTTCTTTAAAAAAAGCGGAAACTCATCACGATTGCTTTTGCTTAATTACTTAGTTCTACTTGTAAATTAATGAATGATGTGGCAGTTGCTTACGTTGTTCCTCGGTTGGTACGAAAATTGCATGCAAGGTAAAAACTGCTTTGTGTGGATCTCATAAATGAGTAACGAATATTTTTTCCGAATTTGAGCGACGTACTCCTTCAAGTTATTACAAGTAAATGCTACATCATCCCTCACTAAATACAATTACTACTTCATGTATTGGTGTCACCTCTCACTAGATACTTCAGGTATGGATATCCAATCATTCCATCATTTGATTCAATAGCTTTTTATTAGGTTTTTCCATTTACTTCCACAGTATTAACTAGATCCGGTGCAATAACCATGTTGTCCAATCTCATATTTATGCATCTATATTTCTAGAAAAAAACCAGCTGTGACGTGTTTGCTTCCGTCTAGTTTCTTCTATTTTTAGGATCTTCCTGCTTTTAAGTTCGATTATACATAGAAGGGACCACTACCGTCGCAGGACCCGGAGCACGGGGCGAGGCCCTGCCCCGGCATGATTCTTTCCCGGCGCGGCCTCCTCCCGCCACTACCTCGACGGCGTCCTGCTCCCCATCCCCATGGCCGAGTTCGTCAATGGTGACAACGAAAGGGATGATATATGGGTCCCACATGTCGTTTTCTGCGAGCATGGATTTGAGTGGCGCATTTTAGGTAGCGTTGCTGGAGCTAACAAAAAAATAGGTAGTATTGAAATAGGCGGCTACCGAGATCGAGAAGTAGGGGATCCATTTTGGGCAGTGTTAATTTGATGGAGATGCTCTAACCGTATGTTATAGAGTCTGATCAAACTTATGCATGCAAAGAAAGAGTGACAAAATCCTATGAAAGCATGATTGAATGAATCGTGCCCCAATGGGAAATCAAGGACGGAAGGCGTGTGCTCGAGGAATTGATAATGATGTAATTTTTTTTAAAAAAAGGGTAACTCATCACGATTGCTTTTGCTTAATTGCATAGTTCTACTTGTAAATTAATGAATGATGTGGCAGTTGCTTACGTTACTTTTAACCATGGTTGCTTAGTTCGATTATACGTAGAAGGGACCGCTGCCGTCATAGCTCCCTTGCAAGACGGGCGAGGCTCTGCTCTTGCCAAAGATGATTCTTTTTCTCATGGCGCTGCCTCCTCCAACCACTCCCTCAACGGCGTCCCCTGCTCCCCATCCCCATGGCCGAGTTCTTCAATGGTGACAACGAAGGGGATGATATATGGGTCCCACATGTCATTCTCTCTGAGCATGGATTTGGGTGGCGTATTTTAGGTAGCGTTCTTTGAGCGAATGTAAAAAAAATAGGTTGTATTGAAATAGGCGGCTACCCAGATCGAGAAGTAGGGGATCCATTTTGGGCAGTGTTAATTTGATGCATAAGCTCTAACCGTATGTTATAGAGTCTGATCAAACTTATGCATGCAAAGAAAGAGTGACAAAATCCTATGAAAGCATGATTGAATGAATCGTGCCCCAATGGGAAATCAAGGACGGAAGGCGTGTGCTCGAGGAATTGATAATGATGTAATTTTTTTAAAAAAAAGGGTAACTCATCACGATTGCTTTTGCTTAATTGCTTAGTTCTACTTGTAAATTAATGAATGATGTGGCAGTTGCTTACGTTACTTTTAAC